GCAGACAGAGCCAGATACAAAAAGAGCACACGGAGGAGCACTTGGAAGTGATTTTTCAAAAAGCCAGATACTGCAGACCCAGGTGGGGTGGGGGGAATTTCCAGGAAGGACAGGGGTTCTTACCATCACCTCTGTCACCCTGTCACCTGAGAGTATCTGACCCTACCCTGGGTGTATTTGTTTGCCCAGGCCACCAATAAAGCACCACAGGGGGTTGGGGGTGGGGGGAGGCTTACACGACAGGAATTTATTTCCTCGCAGTCCTAGAAGCTGGAAGTCTGAGACCAAGGTGCTGGCAGGTTTGATTCTCCTGAGGCCTCTCTCCTCAGCTTGCAGATGGCAGCCTTCTCGCTGTGTCCTCACATGGCCTCTTCTCCGGGCCTGCTCATCTCTGTGTCTCTCCCTCCTCATGGAAGGCCACCAGTCCTACTGCATTAAGGACCACACACAACCTCATTTAACCCTAATTACTTTTTTAAAAGCCCTGTCCCCACCGACAGTTGCATTCTGAGGAACTGGGGATTAGGACTTCAACACGTGACTTTGGGGGAGATTGAGTTCAGTCCACAGCATCGTGCAAGGTGTGCAAATCCCAGCCCCACATCGTGCCCTTGCCAGCGAGGGTCCTGCAGAGCCCCCCACAGCCCATCGTAATGCCGGCTTCGTTCAGGTTCGTCAGTCGACTGCACCCCAGCCCCAGGAACGCCTTGTCTCAGCTCTCCTTGGCCCCTGGCAAGGATGCACTGACTCTGACCTTCGGCTCAGACTCTGGTTTTTGAACTACAGGCTGTTGAAGCAGCACTGAGCACTTGTTATAGCCATCTTTGTGAAAGGGCAACAAAGACACTATTTTCATGTTGACCTGTAGAGGCTGGGTAGGCCCCGGCGGCCCTGGGCCCTGGGCACGGATCCCAAATCTGCTCAGGTCAACGCAGGCCACCTCAGGTGCCCTCTCGGATTCTGTTTACTCAGACAGCTAGCCAGTACGTCCGGCTCCCAGGGCGGGCTGTCACACACACCACCCTCACGACAGCACGTGCTGGGCCTGAGTCGCCCTTCCCAGACACCACGGACACTAAAGAGCCATAGGCTAATCTATTGGCAGCAACACCTGCCTCCAGACCTGCTCAGGGGTCTTCATCAACTGGATCGTAGTTAATAGTTCTCAGTTTCCACTGCCAGTAATGACAGAATAGGTAAATCAGACCAGCGGTTTCGCTGGGGCCAACTAGAAAGGCTGGATTAAATACGCAAATTTTCGAAGGCATACGACGAGGGCTATCATGAGACTGGAAAACTACTGGACCGAGATCTCACGGAGAGCGGAAACTCGGGTAGGCGAGGCAGGTGCGCAGAGCCGGGGCGCGTTTGCTGATACGCAGAGGAGAGCAGGTGGCAGACTGAGCCTTGCTTCTCAAGCTTCACAGGCAGCTGGGCAGGTAGGCTTGACCACAGTAGCATGTGTATCAGAAACGAATGAATGGTCTTAAGGTTTTTCTAAGGGACTCATGAGTAATCATTCCTTTTAGAAACGTGAGAACTCAAAAAACTATCGTAATCTGCAAATTGGCCACGAGAAACTACACTCTGTAAAAAGCATGACTACCAAACTAAGAGAGGAAATAATGAAATAATTTAAAAAGGATCAGGAGCGCCTGGGTGGCTCAGTCAGTTGAGTGTCCATCTCTCAACTTCAGCTCAGGTCATGATCCCAGGGTGGTGAAATTGCACCCCACGTTGGGCTCTGAGTGTGGAGCCTGCTTGGGATTCTCTCTGTGTCTCCCCGTGCCCCTCCCCGACTCACGTGCATGTGTCTGTGCACACACTCTCTCTCTCAAAAATAAAAACAATTGGGGGGGGGGAAGTGGGTGATGGACATCAAGGAGGGCACCTGTTGGGATGAGCACTGGGTGTGCTATGTAAGTGATGAATCACGGGAAGCTACTCCCGAAGCCCAGACTGTGCTGTTTGTTAACTAACTTGAGCATAAATAAAGTTAAATAATAAAAAAATTAAAAATACATAAAATAAAAAGAACAAAGAAGGCAAGAAAGAAAAGAGAAGAAAACTTAGACTGGGACAAAGAGAAAATAATAACATTTGAGCCCAAATGAATTAGTAATTAAATTAAAATGTAAATAGACTAAATGCTCCAATTAAAAGATAGTCTGACTTGATAAAAATAAAACCCAATTATAAGTTGATTATAAGAAGCACACCTAGAATAAAAAGATAGAGAAAGGTTAAAAGTACGGAAAAATATATAGCAATTAAAAACCTAACGAAAGTCAGAGTAGACATTAATATTGGGGAAAAAAATAATTTTGGGGGTGTCAGGCCGGCTGGGTCGGTGGAGTGTGCAACTCTTGATCTTGGGGTCATGAGTTCCAGCCCCATGTTGCATGGACAGACTGCTTAAAATTAAAATCTTTAAAAAGAACAAAAAAAGACTTAAAGTTAAGAAGCAGTACTAGCGGTAAAGAGATATTTTGTAGCAATAAAAAATTTGATTCATCAGAAAGATCTAGCAAATCGAAATCCATATGTGCATAATAAAAAAGCCTCAACAATGTAAGCAGCAAAACGTTGATGACTAAAACAAAAAGTAGACAAATCTGTAAGTATCGTTAGGAGATGGTAACATATTTCTCCCAGAACCTTTGGGAAAACAAAAAGTCTGAAAGGAACTAAATAGACACACCACATTAATTGACTCCAAATGAACAATACCAAGCCATATTCTAGTAAAATATTGGACTTTAAAAATAAAAAGGAGAGACATCTTTTGGACACCTAGGCAAAAAGACCAAGTAACTCATAAGGAAAAGAAAATTCAATTGCTGAAAACCATTTTGACAGCAAAATTTTATGCCAGAAGAAAATGGGTTAGATATTTAAGATACTCAAGGAAAGAAAATGAAAGCCAAGCACTTTTTTATCCAGCCAAGTTGGTTCTTAAATATAAATATTACAGTACCAACATGTAAAAATGCAGGACATGTGGGTTCTATAGCCCTAGCTTAGGAAACTACTAGAGAATGAAGTTCAGACAACCAATGACAGCTGTGTATAGGGGTGTGTGTGTGTGTGTGTGTGTGTGTGTGTGTGTGTAAAACAAAGACTGCATGGGGCACCTGCGTGGCTCAGTCATCTGACCTTGGCTCAGGTCATGACCTCACAGTTTGTGATTTCGAGCCCCACATCGGGCTAGCTGCTATCAACACAGAGCCCACTTTGGATTCTCAGTCCCCCTCTCTCTCTGCCCCTCCCCCCCTCAAAAATAAAGAAATGTTAAAAAAAAATTAAAACGAAGACTGTATGAAGGGTATAAAAGACAGATTATCATATGTATTAATGCTCCTAAAAGAAAATGAGGAAGGGGTAGATTGGAGTATACACACACAAAGCAATCTTTTTTTAAAGGTGAGTATTTTATTATATTTATTTTTTTAAGTTTATTTATTTTGAGAGAGAGAGAGCATGGGAGCATGCAAGCGGGGGGAGGGGCAGAGAGAGAGAATCCGAATCCCAAGCAGGCTCCACGCTGTCAGCACAGAGCCAGATTCGGAATTTGATCTCACAAACCGTGAGATCATGACTTGGGCCAAAATCAAGAGTTGGAAGCTTAACCAACTGAGCCACCCAGCTGCCCCATGCACAAAGTAATGTTTTCAGCTATTTTCAGTAACCAGATTTTGATAGTAGTGCATTCTTTCCCACTGAAAGGAACCAGTGCCTCAAGGAGAAATGTTCGGGACAAGAATTGTACAAAATGAGCCCAGGATGTCTTGTCATAAGGGATGGAAAAGGAGCTATCAAAGACACAAGAGCCAACTGCACGATCACTCTAGAAAACAGTGTGGAGCTTCCTCAGAAAGTTAAAAGTAAAACTACCAACGACACAGCAATTGCACTACCAGGTATTTATCCAGAGGATATAAAAATACTGATTCGAGGGGGTACATGTACCCCGATGTTTATAGCAGCATTATTAACGATAGCCAAATTATGGAAAGAGAACAAATGTCCACTGACTGATGAATGGATAAAGGTACAGTGTACTACTGTAAATATATTTTTTCTTCCTTATGATTTGCTTAATAATAATTTAATTTTTTTTCTCTAGCTTACTTTATTGTAAGAATATAATAATTTTGTTTATGTCCTCGGTAAGGCTTCCAGCCAACAGTAGGCTGTTTGTAGTCAACTTTCAGGGGAGTCAAAAGTCATATGTGGATTTTTGACTGCACAGGGGGTTAGCACCCCTAACCCCTGCATTGTTGAAGGAGCAACTGTGATATTTTTTTCCTTTTTCATCCCCACATAAGCAAGCAAATGAACGTTCCCAGATTTGGGGAGCTCTCAATGGACAAGTCCATATTAGGCACCTCTGAGAAGCATTTCTAGAAACACATACCCTACCACAGGGCCCACACTACCTGTTGGAGTTGGGGGGTAACAGGGTCGGAAGGAGGCATTTGGAGATTTAAGGAAAAGGTCTTACACAGGAATAATAGGCACCTTTTTTTTTTTTTGCCTCCTTGCACTGTTTTTGTTCGTTTATTTGTTTTATAATATACTGAGTTGGTTCAAAGGGCTTAGAGTTCAGAGTTGGGGAGATATATATTTATGAATAACAAATCTAAGAGTTCCTGGCAAGTGAGTATGCTCACAGGCACGTGCATCTTAAAGACACCACAGGCAGCAGGAGTTAAGGAGGGAGACCTGTTTCTCAGCCCTGGAGCAAAAAGACTTTGGGCTTATAACAGGAAATTTGGGTTTCCAGCTTGGCTCTGTGTGACCTTGGAGAAGTCCATTCCACCTTTCTTCATCCTCATGGAGGAGTCAGCAAAAGAAGCCTCAAATCTTTGCACCGAAGCTCTTTGTCAACAGGAATGCCTTATAAGCCCCTTGGCTAGGACTGTTTCTGTGCAGGCTAGTGACCTGCAGGGGAGGGACAGAGGCCAAGGAGACATAGCCAGAGGGATGGGGCGGGCAAAAGAACCCACAGAAGAGGTCTGAGAAATCAAATAAGAGCAGGCAGGGTCGTCTGCCTCTCGGAAGGGGACTCCTAACTGCCCTGGGCTCCCGTTGGCCAAATGGGGCCAAGATGATCCTGTGTCTTGGTCCCTCTCCCACCCCACCTGCCCCCCTCCCTTGGGCTTTCCTCAGCCTTTACTCAGGAGGCTCAATGAATTCTGTGTCCCTGTCATGGATCTAAGTACTACAATGAAAAGTCAAGTTTAATTCATCCTAAACCATCATCCAGCCTGGCAGGATCCACATTTATTGAAATCTGGACCCAGAAGCCTGCTCAAACTTACGCTTGCTGATGAGTTCAGCGATCACGCTGCGCTCGTTGTCCAAGGTGAGTGACTATAAAGTATCTTTGCTCATCAGCACCAAGCCCTGGGAGGAGGGAGAAGAGGGGTATGTGGATGACCAGAAAGTATGGAGGACCTGGGCTGGAGAGAAATCCTTAGGACACACAAGGTGGTTGTACTAAAATCCCATCAGCCTGGCATCCGTCTTCCTTTTCCATTTTTTGTTTTAATTGGAAAACCTGATTTTGAATTTGTACTTTGAGTCCTGGACGAGCTGCCAAGCAATAGATCTGGCCACTGTAGGCTGCTGCTTCCTAATCTCTATAATGGGTCTAAAGTACGGCTGCCATGTTATGGGGAGAGAGAAACAAATCACGTAAGGAAAGCACTATGTGAACTCTGAGCATTGTTAGTTCATTTCTTCAGATGGCTTCTGCAGGACCACTGAACAATTGAGCAAGCACACTGCTCAATATCTTCACAGAGGTCGTCCTTCCATGCTCCGAGGGCCTCTGCACTTCGGGAACATCCATCTAGGTGTCTGTCACCTGATGGGCGCAGCCAGCTGGGTGGAGGGCAGGTTAGCCCAGAAAACGACTCTCCTGCACTTCAAAAGGAACATGTGACCTCATCACAAATTCTTCTTCATCAGTTATTCTCCTTGGGGTCACCCAAGAACCCCTGCTTGGCAAGGGAGCCTTGTCACCATGACATACTGGACCGTCACACAGCTGCATGGCTCGGGAAATGCGGTCCTTTTCCAGGACCTCAGAGGGGAACCCCACCCCAGAGCCTTCCTTGAGTCAGGTCCTTTTCGATTTGTGTGCACAATGAGCCTGGTTTCCTGCCGCTCCCTGGGAGGCGGGATCACGCAGTGGGTGCTGGGCTGAATCTGGTCACCATCGCTCGCTGTGTGTCCTTAGGTCACTTAGCAGCAACTGCTGCAAGCCTCCCCTCCGCTTTCTCATCTCCGTATGCGGCAGGGAAGCCATAATCCCCTCCTCTCAGGGTTGCGGGGAGGGTTGAATAATTCACACAAGTACTGAACGATGCCTCGCACCCTGGAAGTCTTCAAAATGGATTCGCTAATTACTCAGGGGGAGAAGTTAAAACCATAATGAAAGTCTTGTTTCTCAGAGAGGCAGAGAAGCCCATGGAGGCCTCAGCCGTGACCTTCAGATATGGGCTCAACATGAATGACGGCTTTTCTGGCCTGAGGACCTTCCAGGCCTGAGAAAGGGCAGCCGGACGGGCCCAGCGGCCCGGGTCCCAAGCTTGAGGGCTAAGTTCATGCACAGGAGCCAGGGAAGGCTGGTCACCAATGCAGATAGTGACTACAACCATCCACCTGTCTGCCCCGGGAGCCACCGGGGGCTGTGGCTTGGAACAGTGGGCCTCAAGGAGACCCGCAAGGACCCCCTCGCTCCCTCTGCTCACTTTACGCACATTTAGACATTATACAATGCGTCCCGCAGCACTTCACGCGGAAGTGTGGGGACCTCCCAACCCCCAGCCACGGCCGCCCTGCCCCAGGCATGATTCAGTGTTTGGGCTTATTTATGAGAGACCATGAGTTCATTTCAAAATGTCAAATGATCCTTGGTGACTAATGGCCCCTGCTGTGCTCAATATCTTCCCAGAGGTCGTCCTTCCATGCTCCGAGGGCCTCTGTGCTTCGGGAACATCCATCTAGGTGTCTGTCACAAGAAGCCACTGTGTCATCAAATCACCAAGAAAAGCCGTGCTGGGGAAGTCATCCCAAGGAATGAGGCAGAGGAAAGCTGGCAGATGGGAGCGGATACACCCACCAGCAAAAACAAACGGTGCATCGGACGAGAGGGTCTCCTTGTTTTACCATTTTTACCCATAATTTACCCACTGAACCCTGTTCTGTGGGGCTAGCTCTGATTCTGAGCAGGAGTGAGTCTCTGGCAGGTTCTGTGCCTCTCCCGTTCACTCCCCATTTAAACGGTTTTTTAAAACGTTCATTGTGGGGGCGCCTGGGTGGCTCGGTTGGTTAATCGTCCGACTTCAGCCCTAGGTCATGATCTCACGGTCTGTGAGTTCGAGCCCCGCGTTGGGCTCTGTGCTGACAGCTCAGAGCCTGGAGCCTGTTTCCGATTCTGTGTCTCCCTCTCTCTCTGCCCCTCCCGTGTTCATGCTCTGTCTCTCTCTGTCTCAAAAATAAATAAATGTTTAAAAAAAAAAAAAACAACGTTCATTGTGGAAATTTTCACACACAACCACCGTCTGTACAAGTGCTGCAATGAACCCCACGTAGCCAGTCACTCCGCTTCAACAGTTATGAGCGGTCTTTCTTGTTTCATCCGTCCCCATTCTCCCCCCAGCGCACACACACTTTGTGTGTGCTGGGGTATTTCAAGACAAATCCTCCAATTGCTTCTAGAAACAAAAATAGCCCCAGTTCAGTAATCTAGGACTTCCAAACTTCATCTCCAGTTCAAGCTTCCCCCCTCACCCCACCCCTCCCGCCACCCGCCTCTCCTCCTCCACCCCCCACCCCACCACCCACCTTGGCTGCTGCAGGCTGGGAGCCTGGGCTGGTATCTGCCTCTGGCTCCTTCAGGGGGAGGTAAGCACAGAGGGGATGTTCCCCCCCCCCCGCCCCCCGGCTCTCAAAGGTGGTGGGCAGCTGTGACCCCAGAGTGGCTTCCTCAGGTCTCCCATGCAGGTCCCGCCTACTCAGAAGCACCCCCAGGGCGGGCGGCCGAGGGGTGGAAGCAGACACGTCAGATCGCCTGGGTCGGAGAGCAGTGCCAGTGCGTGTCAGGTAAGCCGAACACGGTGCGGCCCCCCTCCGCTAGGAAGACGTGTTTTCAGTGGAAAGAAAATTTGGGTGCAGGGAAAGGAAGATAATGCACCGCTCTTGTGCACCAGGTCAAAGGCAGAATTTTCACTCCCCCTTGGGGGACCTGGCCTCTCACTTGGGAATGTGGGAATGGTTGTCACTTCCGGCCTTGGAGCTGTGCTGTCCAACCTGATGGCCACCAGCCACATGTGCTGAAGTGCAAACTATGCACTGGGTTTTCAATAATAAAAAATACCCGAGTAATAGTTTTACGATTGAATTCACGTGGGGGTGCCTGGGTGGCTCAGTTGATTGAGCGTCCGACTCTTGATTTCAGCGCAGGGTAGTGGGATCAAGTCCCACGTGGGGCTCCTCACGGAGTGTGGGGCCCGCTTAGGATTTTCTCTCTCCCTCTCAGGTCGTGATCTTGTAGTTTGTGGGGTCAAGCCCCACTGACGCGATGGAGCCTGTTTGGGATTCTCTCTCCTCTCTCTGCTTCTCCCCCCGCCCCGTCCCCCTGCTCATGCTCTCTGTCATAAAATAAATAAATATTTAAAAATAAATAAATAAAATAAAATAAAATACGGGCAGCTGGGTGGCTCAGTTAAGTGTCTGACTTCTGCTCAGATCATGATCTCATGGTTCGTGAGTTAGAGCCCCACACTGGGCTCTGTGCTGACAGAGGGGAGCCTGCTTGGAACTTTCTCTCTCTGTCTCGGTCCTTTTCCCACTCGCTCTCTCTCTCTTTCTCAAAAATAAACATTAAATTAATATTAAAAATTAAAAATTAAATTGATTACAGTTAAACTGATAATATTTTATTTTAATGTGTATCTATTTTGAGAAAGAGAGAACCAGCAGGAGAGGGGCAGAGAGAGACAGGGACAGAAGGTCCAAAGCAGTCCCTGCAGTGACAGCACAGAGCCCGATGTAGGGCTCAAACTCACAAACCATGAGATCATGACCTGAGCTAAAGTTGGATGCCCCCTGATGATATTTTTATATTGCATTAGATCCAATGTATTGTTAAAATTAATTTCATCCATTTCTTTTCATTTCTTCCTAAAAAATTGTTTTAATGTTTGTTTATTTTTGAGAGAGAGACAGAGTACTAATGAGGGAGGGGTAGAGAGAGAGGGAGACACAGAACCCAAAGCAGGCTCCAGGCTCTGAGCTGTCAGCACAGAGCCCGACGCAGGACTCGAACTCATGGAACTGTGAGATCATGACCTGAGCCAAAGTCAGATGTTTAACTGACTGAGCCACCCAGGCGCCCCTATTTTTATTTCTTAATGCGACTACTAGAAAAATTTTTTGTAAATTTTTTTAAGTTTATTTATTTATTTTGAGAGAACGAGTGAGCAGGGGAGGGGCAGAGAGAGAGGGAGAGAGAGGAAATCCCAAGCAGGCTCCATGCTGTCAGCAGGAAGCCTGATGCCAGGCTCAAACCCACAAACTGTGAGATCATGACCTGAGCCCAAGTCGGACACTCAACAGACTGAGCCACCCAGGTGCCCCTCCTAATGTGATATTAAAACGCAATAACTTCAGGGTCTCTAAGGCCACACTGTCCAACAGAAATGTGATGTGAGCCTCAGATGTAACATTTTTCAATTTTACGTTTAAAATTTTCAGGGGCGCCTGGATGACTCAGTCGGTTAAGCCTCAGACTCTTGGTTTTGGCTCAGGTCATGATGTCACAGTTTATGGGCTCAAGCCCCATATCTGGCTCCATGCTGTTGGCTCAGAGCCTGCTTAGGGTTCTCTCTCTCTCCCTCTGCCCCTCCCCACTCTCTCATTCACTCAAAATAAATAACCTTTAAAAATATATATAATATCACGTTACGAAAATTCCACCCCACCACACAAAACATTGGTCCTGGAGCCAAGGAAATTTTGACCTGGATGAGCATCTCGTTGGACCCCTTCGGTTTTACCGACGATGAAACTAAGGCCCAGTGAGAAGTGACCGGTTTGGCCGGGGTCACCCGGTGTCGCTGCAGAGCATGCACGTGATTTCAAACTGCTCCTGTGAAACAAGGACAGGTGCCAAATTCCCCGAATATCCCTCGTGCATTTCTGCCTCAAAACGAAGTATTCCAATGTCTCACAGCTGAATGCCAGCCTGGGGTGAGGGGGGTGAGGGGGGTGAGGGGGGCAGGTCCGCGGGCCCTGTCCCCTGGCGGAAACGGCTGGCTGTGCGCCCTCAGACAGCACGCGGCCCTGAAGAGGTCTGGGTCTGAGGTCAGCAAACTGGCAGACTGAGGCTGAGATCTGGCCCTCAGACCTGTTTTGATTGGCTCGCGGCGTCTTAACAGTTTTTTGAATCATTTGCCAATGTTCCAACATGAGGAAATGTCAGTAAAAAAAAATGGGTTCCAATTCTCCTGGAAACTTAGCTCTGGGGACCGGAGCCTTGTTTCCTGCCTGGCGCTCAGCAGCTGCTGCCCCTTGGATGTGGCTTCGCGCCCCCAGCCCCGCAGCCGTCTCTCTGCCTGTCCCCCCGCGGGGTCCTGCAGTGGCTCACAGCCATAATCAGCTACATGTCCGGCTTTTCTGAGAGCAGAGGTAAGAGGAGAGTGAAATGGTTTCCATCCCTCTTTTGATCAAAAGGCAAAGAAATCAGAGCTACGCCAAGAAGACTGGGTGTCTCTGCGAAAAAACCCTTTTCTCCTCGGCTGCTCCCCCCACGCATCTCCCTCCTCACCAGGGGCACTTGGGTTTGCCATCTGATCTATTTGTTTCTGCTGCACCCCATGACAAAAGGGAAGGTGGCCATTCTAGCCATTTCCCATGAGGAGACTGAGGCCCTGAGAGGTGACCATCCTCCAGATACAAAGAGTTGGCTCTGGAGTGGGGGCCCCGAGGCCCAGGGTGTCTGAGGTCTGGGGCTCTCCAGCTCTAATGCTACAGGGCCAGGTCACCATTTGTTGGCCATTTGTTGGTTCTTCTGCCCCAAGGACAGATAATGTACCGCAGGTGGGACCAAAATTCGATACTCAGCCTCCCCCCGGCTTTCCTCAAGAGCCACATCCAGGCAGAGGAAGGAGAAAGACACAAATTAAGCCGGACTGAGGGCAGTCACCCCTGGTGAGATGTTCGGCTTGGCATTTCTGCCACCTTCTCGACTCTCAGGCCGTCCTCTGTTCCTGAGGACATCCCACCCTCAGGGCCCTGGAGTGCAGTCCTGTCTCCAGGAGGTGGGGCCGGCCACACCCAGACGCCTGCCACTTTCAGAACAGGCGAAGCAGGGTCCCAGACGAGGCTTGCCCTTGTGGGGTCAGCAGCCTGACTGGAACGGGGCGGCCCCCGGAGCCTGGGATCCTCTCGGCTCCCCCACAGTTGTTGTGACAAGGGCACGGCAGGTTCGTGCCCCCAGCGGCTGGCACAAGCCCATTCACATCGAGCCCTCAAAACTGATGAAACAACATGGAGACACATGTTTGCCCCATTGCCTGGACTGGAGAGTGATGCTTGCCGGGTAAAAGGGCAAAGGATGTGAGCCCTTCATCTCTCTAGGAGACGAGTGGGGACAAAGCTCTGCAGTGGAGGGAGGTGGCCTGCACTTCGACCAACCAGGTGAGCTGTACATGCAGAATCTTCATTTCCTTGCTGGGTTCACAGTCACAACATTCACACTTCCATTTGCTCATTTGTTTTTCCCCTCGGTTTGTTTACGGAAAAGGTACCATGCACGAATACGGAAAGATCGCTGGGTGAAAACCAGGAGCAGAAACAATGCGTTTAGAATGCTACTTTTATGGTGGAATGAGGCTGGAAAGAATCTTATTCAGGCTTGCTTGGATTTCCATCAAGAGAATATGAGGGGCGCCTGGGTGGCTCAGTCGTGAGCATCTCACTTATGGCTCAGGTCACGATCTCACGTTTTGTGAGTCTGAGCCCCACATCAGGCTTCACGCTGATAGTGCTGAGCCTGCTTGGGAGTCTCTCTCTCTCTGCCCCTCCCTGACTCCCAGTCTCTCTCTCAAAAATAAATATTAAAAAAATTAAAGGAAATATAGAAGAACACACAAGAATCTAACAAAAGTGGTTGCTGGGGGACAAGGGAGAAGAATACATCTCAGAGTATACATTTAAAAAATAAAGTAAAATTTAAACTAAATAAAAAGACCAGGGGTGCCTGGGTGGCTCAGTCTGTTAAGCATCCGACTTCAGCTCGGGTCATGATCTCATAGTTCGTGGGTTCGAGCCCCACGTCAGGCTCTGAGCAGACAGCTCGGAAGCTGGAGCCTGCTTCGGATTCTGTGTCTCCCTCTCTCTCTGCCCCTCCCTGGCTTGTGCACACTCTCTCTCTGTGTCTCTCAAAAATGAATAAATAAACAGGTTTTTAAAAATACCACAGATAGGGGCGCCTGGGTGACTCAGTCGGTTGAGCGTCTGACTTTGGCTCAGGTCATGATCTTGTGGTCTGTGAGTTCGAGCCCCACGTTGGGCTCTGTGCTGGCAGCTCAGAACCTGGAGCCTTCTTCAGATTCTGTGTCTCCCTCTCCCTTTCTGCCCCTCTCCCGCTTGTGCTCTGTCTCTCTCTCTCTCTCAAATATAAATCAACATTAAAAAAATTTTTTAAATAAAAATACCACAGATAATTCATAAATAGTTTAAAAAACAGAGGAGGAAAATCCACTATTTACCCAACTTCTGTAAAAGCATAGTCATTTGTGCTTATTCTCTTTCTGTTTTCATCCATCTGCTTTTATATGTTATATGTGCGTACGATCATAGGGCACATAAAATTGTCTCCTAATGAGTTCACTGAACATCATAAGCTCTTCCCAGGCTGCCAGGTGGGATTCATTTTGGTTACACACACATAAAATTCCGTCAGTTTTCTTCTTTCTAAAGACCCTCGGTCTTTCTTTCTTTATCTCCACAGCTAACCCGGTTGATTAGCTAACGCTCATCGCTCAGCAGATTCATGGCCGCAACCGAGTTTGACAGAAGAACAAAACAGAGACTGTGTCCTCCCGGGACACAAGCAGAAAAATAGAGCCGGAACCCACGCCTTTCCCCAAGACAACTGCGACTGTTCGTCCGCCTAACAGAGCTGGAGTTCCCACCAAGGGTTTTTAACACCCCTTAGAGCTAAGAGTTTAACATCTGTTTACTTTCTAGTTAGAAATTGTTACGGACTCCCGGGAAGTGGCAAAAAAGACAGAGAGGTCCCAAGTACCCTCCACGCGTTTCCCCCCAGTGGTTACATCTTACGTAAGTATAGTGGCCGAGGAATCGACGCAGATACAATGTGTGGGTAGAGCTGTACCCATGTGTACACATTCCCAGAACCACCACCCGGGGCCAAGATGTAGAACCAGTCCAGCTCCAGAGAGGTTTACCCTCCTACTGCCTCTTCCACTCGCCCATCCCTAATCCCTGGCAACCAGGAACCTCTTTCTCCATCTCTCTACTTTTGTCATTTCAAGAGCGTTGTACAAGTGAAATCATACAACATGTGACAGTTTGAGATTGGCTTTTGGGGGGCTACTCCAAATCAACGGTTATGAATATCCGTGCACAGGTTTTTGTGTGGATGCGAGCTTCCATTTCTCTGGGGTAAATGCGCCATTGCCAGGTCATGTGTCTGCTGAGTTTTTTAAGAGACTGCCAAGCCATTTTCAGAGTGTCGCTACCATTTTCCATCCGGTCAACAATGTAGGGGGGATCCGGTTTCCCCGGCACCATTGCCCCTCGAAGAGTTGGCTAATGATTCTCCTGCCTTCCATATGCAGACGGACCAGTCTAGAGCCCACACCCACCCACCCCCCCTCCAACCGCCTCCTACCCAGGGCTCTTAGTCTCTCCCTGCCCTTATCACCACAGGGCCCAGGACCAGACACCTCCTCCCCAGAGCTCTCTGAAATTGTTCCAAATCAGCAATCCCAAACCTGCTTAGCCTGCTCGTCCATAGTACAGGCTTTTGCCCTCCCTTGCCTCCTGCCCCCTCTGCCTCCTGACCTGCGGGCCCTGCAGGACGTGGTGAGCCCCCTCTTGGGGACCCTGAGTAACAAACTATCTTTCCAATGGCAATCGTCTCCTGATCGGTTGGCCTCATCACATCTGAATAATAATAAAACCCACATTTTAAACAGGAGGACAATGTAAACTTGTAGCTGCTGGTGGCCGCCCCTCATTCCTCCCTGGGACCGAGACCCACCGGAAGAAACACAAATGAGAAGCACAAACACTGTGTCCTCACGGAATCCTTTCCGGCCCCAGATGCACCGGTACCTGAAAAGCACCCCAGACTTGCCACTCACATGGGCCGTCACCTTTTTGTTGCTGTTGGGTTAAACTCTTCTGAGTTGGACTGTCCCCTCCTGGCCCCTGGACGGGGGCACAGACCGGCCATGGTGCCCCCTCCCAGGCGCTGCCCCTGCTGAGACACAGATTCCCGGGAGAGCTGCACACACAGTCCCGACCTGGCCGCAAGCAGGCAGAGAAAGGTGCTGGCAGGTGTTGGGCCCAGGGTCCAGGTGGGAGCGAGGAGAGCAACGATTAGGCTGGACATCCGCTTGGACCTTCCCCGCTCGTATCCACAGATTCGCTAAAGTGTTCACTTCAGAGGAAAAATAAGACATTTGACCCTTTAGCAACACGGGCTAGAACTGGGCAGTTCCCCTTACAGGTTTGGGTTTTTTTATAAAGTACAGTGCTGTGAATGTATTTTTCTTTTACGATTTTCTTTTTTTTTTTTTTTAATGTTTATTTGTTTTTTGAGAGAGAGAGAGCACAAGCAGGGGAGGGGCAGACAGAGAGGGAGACACAGAATCCAAAGCAAGCTCCAGGCTCTGAGCTGTCAGCACAGAGCTGACACGGGCCTCAAACTCATGAGCCACAAGATCATGACCTGAGCCAAAGTCGGACCCTTACCCCACTGAGCCACTCAGACACCCCTTCTCTTAGGATTTGCCTAATACCTTTTTCTTTTCTCTAGTTTCCTTTGTTGTAAGAATACAGTATATAACACATACAACATACAAAATACATGCTAATTGACAGTTTATGTTTTCACTTATGGCTTCCAGTCAACAGCAGCCTATTAGTAGTACAGTTTTGAGCGAATCAAGGTCATAGTTGGATTTTCATCTGTTCAGGGTTGGGAAGGGAGGTCAGTGCCCCTAACCCCCTCCCCGCCAGCCTCACCACATTGTTCAAGGATCACCTGTAGGAGCTGGCTCTTACACAGAGCCCTCTCAGCAAGCCAGGCACTGTGCTGAGTTATTCATATACACGAATTCACTTAATCCTTATACAGCCAGCCGCGTGAGGGTCGTGATTATTCCCATTCTGCAGATGAGGAACTGAGGCTCAGAAGAACGAAGGCCAGGCTCGTGAGTGGAAGAGCTAGGGTCAGACCTGAGCAGCCAGGCTTGCGAGTTCTTGCTGGTGACCACCTCTGAGCCCTGGGCCTCCTTCTCCCGGGCTCCCTCCAAAGGAAACCCTCCTGCGTCTGACCAAAAGCCGCATTCTGTTTCTTCAGCCCCTTCTCTCCGAGGCTTAATCGTCTGCGGCGTATCTTCCCCCTGCGGTGGGGTTACGTCCTGATAAACCTGAAAATCTTGTTAAGGCTGAAAAGGCATTTACCACACCTCACGGGCGGAACACGATAGTTTGGCCAACCCTCGGGTCAATGAGCTCGGAACACGTGTCGGAGCCTTCAGTCAGGTAAAATGGTCTCACACAGAACCTGTTTTATAAGAAAGCATTGGTTATCTCAGGTAATGAAAGCGAAGAAAAGGATGGGGTGTGGGTACAGACGGTTGTCGGTGTGTCCGTGGTTGACCCTCCGTGACCCCTGGCTGACTGGGAGCTGCAGCCACTGTGGGCCCAGCATCGTGGGGGAGGGTCGGGCTGCCAGGGAGCCTGAGAGGAGCCCCCAACCATTAGAGCAGCTGCACCAGCCAGGAAACTTGTGCCTTGGAGCTGGCAAGCAAAGTGAGGGCTGTAACAATAGCCTAGAAAGCTCCTGCACCCTGGCTGATGGGGGTACATGATTCTCAGGAGCAGCGTGCCCCACAGCGACTTGCCGACCCAGAAGGGCAGTGTGAGGGCTCCGTGAGCGCCCACAGCCATGCCTGGGGCAGCCTCCAGAAGGGCAGTGTGAGGGCTCCGTGAGCGCCCACAGCCATGCCTGGGGCAGCAGAGGCAGGAGCGTGAGTTCTCACTGTAACGGCAGCTCTTAAAGAGGGCAGACACCCTCAATCCGCCCTCTGCAGGCCCAGGGGGAAGGTCCTGCTCCCCACCCCCAGCCCCAGGCTCTGGGAAGTGCCTGATGAGCTCCTTCCTCAGAGGCCCTCCCTGGAGTGGAACTAGGCCTCCTAGCCTGGAAGGAAGTGACTGGGGACCAGCCCTTGCCTCAACAGGGAGAAGAAGTTTCTAAATTCTGAAAGGGGCAGATGTGAGACCCAGCCTTGTGCTATGTCCTCTTCCCTCTGGTGATGGAATTTCTCACACTGTTGGCAGTTCTGGGACTGCTGTGGTTTCAGATCCCCCTTTACCAGCCCCTTCAAGTCTGCCTTTGCCCAACACCGCCTCCACCACATGGTGCACACACCACAAACGCCCG